ATCATAAAGTATTCCTAAATTACATGGATACGACATCTCTTTGTAGGAGATCCAGGCATATCTATCCATGTGGAGGCACGATCAGGAGGGTTGATACAGTTTCTCAAAGCACGATGGCCTTTCTTCACAAACCCTACTAAGGAAGAGGCAGGGAGCATCGTCTTCATCATCTCTTGCCACGACCTGGATGGTCTGCGTGAACTGTGGATGAACTATAAACTTGGAAAAGTCAATAGATTTCTGGACGACCTGTTTGCTCGACAAGCCAGACTTTCGTCCGTAGAGACGGATACAGACCTGGAGATTAAGATTGACAAGGGGGATTTTTACGCCTGCCGTCAACATCTGCTTCTAACCAGCCCTATCGATAATGGTTATCGGATGGTGAGACTTGGAGGTCCCAATTTCGAAGGTGACTGTGTCTCTTTTATTACATGGAATGTTTTGCGGAAGTATTGTTTTGTGTAGATAAGTGAAAATGGTTTTGTCCAGACATAATCAGCACATGATGGAAAGGACTAACAGCAGAATGTCAAGGGGGTCACATAACAGAAAATGGCTATGAGCCAGCAAGTACTTAAAAACAGAGAATTGCAAAATTCTTGGTCTTAAATCACTATCTGAAATTTCTTGTTTCTTAATATTTTTGGCACACTGTAATTGTCATTCTTCCAAGCAGGAAAGCCTGCAATGATAGCACTGGCCTTTTTTAAAGAATAAATGACTTGTAATTTTTAACCATTATAATTTTTACAAATTGATAATGAGACGGAAAGCCAACTTTTAATGCAATAATAAGAATACTGTAATCCATACTTGGTACAGAAGAATGCATGTAATGCCATCTTTGTATGATTAATTATTAAACGAATTATGCTATAATAGTGAATTTGATTTATTTGGCTTTAGCATCGACGGCAGGCAAACAGCAGGGCCTGAGTGAGGATTTCCCAGTCTACTGTAAACCAATAGCTCACAAGGCAACCTGCTCACAACTGGACTTCCTGGACCCTGCAGTACCTATGGACCAGCTAGGTAAGTATAATAAGTAATAATTAAGATGGAGATTTTCCCCAATTTTGTCATTATCCTTTAGCTTACTAATAAAATAATGAAATATGATCATCATTTTTAGAGTTCAATATTCAATTATTTAGTGGGAGGAAATGGACTGACTTGCTTCTTTGTTAGTGGTGATTTATTTTTCTAATCTTATGTGTTCAATTGTAGCGGAGTATGTATGTGGCCATCACAACATTCGCCAGATGGCATAAACATATACAACTCATGAATTGTAAAAAAACTGTCTTATTGATTATGCAACTAAGAAACGTCTCGACAATCGTAAATTGCATTCATTATATCACTTGATAATATTTTCCACCCGGGATTAATAAAGAGAGCTACTGCAGACTATCGCAATTTCTGTATGGCAAATTATTTCTTTCAAAGATTTACGCTTTATCATGGTTATTCACTAAACATGGAATTTCAGGAAGCTACAACAAAGTATTAAATTATAGTATCTTTTCATTTACGAAATTATTCGTTTAAAAAAATATGTTTGAGCACAGCATAGCCATTTACTTAACATGAAATTTCCGGAAGTTACTCATCATTGTCAGTACAGTCTCGGAAGTTACCACCAAGTATTGAATTATGGTATCTTTTCATTTATTGAATTAGGGTATCTTTTCAAATTAGATTTCATGTACAGAATGCATATCTGCCTTCCGTTCTCAAGTATATATTGCGAAGTTAAAAAATAAGAAAACCATGAACTTTTGTTTTAGTTCAAATACAGGCGACCCACAAGAGCATGTCGGTCGCAATAGAGGACTTGTTGGATGCTGAACACACAGCAAGGGGGCAAGACTATGGGAGGAAACAAAAGCAATGGAAGACGAACCAAGAGAGGGGGAAAAGAAAAGGAAAGAAGGCAGACCCAGGAGCAGAAACAGACCCAGAGATGAAGACAAAGAAAGAGACAGGTAAGGGAACAGACCAATGGAAAAAACATAGAACAGAGGAAGAAGGGCTACTCTAAAAAGATGATGCAGTCTGGAATGAAAGGTAATTCTAGTTCGTTCTGCCAAAGGAACCGAATATGACCAAGCAATTCATTCTTATGGATATGTCCGACAATATGCCATACTCACATACATGTCTGATAAGCAAATCGTTGGGGACGGCGTCCATTTTGTTAGCAACGTAGCACATTACAGATCATTGATAACCACGCCCGAGACTGCATCTCTGGCGGCGTCTTGACCCGATTGTTGTTGTGAACCACGACTTGAACAGCATTCTGAGCACAACTTTAAAATATGACATCTTCCTGGCCAAGTCGGGCCTCGCCCGCCTTGCATGTCTCACAGCTTGGCATCTCGGCAGATAGGGGGAGGGGAGGGGGGGGGATCCTGTGACGCAACTTGGAAAAAACTCCGTAAAAGAACCAGCACGGAGAATTTTTGACAGGTACCATCTATATAACACCCTGTATAAGTATGATTTGGGGATGTTTCTCGTGCAACGCATCACACCGCAACGAAACGCAACGAATGTGGAAGTAACTAAGCCACTGCAGGGCAACAAACGTTTGGGGGTCTATAACCTAATTAAGACATGGAATTATTGAAAAACATTGTGCCAGGAATGACAGCAGGACAAGTGTTAACTTTAGGAATCCCCATAGGGAGAAAACTGTGTTCTGCCTTTTCGTCGACCAGCTTGCTGGTGCCCCCCCCTCCCCCCTCCCAGCGTATCTTGGCCGAATGCCGAAGTGGTCCCGCCGGAGACGGTGGAGCTCGTTCTAGAACGGACACATTATTTGGCCATTACTGCTCTTTAAGTTGCTGCCATATACAATTTGGTATTGCATATCAATAAAAAAAATCACCCCGTAAGCTACGACCAGGTGAAGTCAGATTGAAATCACATTGCGTTCAGACGCAATTCGGAAAACCGATTCGAAACCACCTTTAGAAGTGGTTTGGGATCAAGGCGCTTTCAATGTGATTTGGAGGGTTCAGATGGGGCCCTTGAAACCGGCTTCGAAGGAAAAAAACATGTAAAGTGCCTTCACTGTCTTCATATGTTAAAGATGTTGATTATGTGAAAGGACGTGACCAATACATTTTATATTTATACAACTTATGACATGCGTAACCACATGCGACATGTTCGTGCGTAATATGGTGTGCTTATTGGACTTTACTGTGCGCATTTTTGAGCCAGGTAGCACAGTATGGTAGTTGGGCAAAAACTAAGTAGCGCAACAGAATTTTAGGTTATTTGCCAATGTCTAAATGAAAGGGAAATACAAATTGGTTTAAATTGAAATAGCATCATCGGTGTCTAACAAATGTTATTTAGGCATATCAATGTCATCCCTAGTAGTCTATTGTCCAGATCTGTGCGTAATATGGTGTGCTTATTGGACTTTACTGTGCGCATTTTTGAGCCAGGTAGCACAGTATGGTAGTTGGGCAAAAACTAAGTAGCGCAACAGAATTTTAGGTTATTTGCCAATGTCTAAATGAAAGGGAAATACAAATTGGTTTAAATTGAAATAGCATCATCGGTGTCTAACAAATGTTATTTAGGCATATCAATGTCATCCCTAGTAGTCTATTGTCCAGATCTGTGTAGACAAAGAAGTGTAAACAGGCGTTTTATATGGTGAATTCCCCCAAGCAAAATGTAAAATACAAAGTTCTATTGTGCTTAAACTTGTCAAAAGGCAAAAAAATATTTGATAAAGGTTAGACAAAAACGCATAGAGCGAGGACGGGCGCTAGGTGAGGCGAGCTCAGAAAGCAGGTGACTATATTACAAGAGGCAGTGCTGTGCATGCAATGAATGGACGATTAAAAAAAAAACAAGCATTGTAGTTTGTACTTAATTGAAAATAATACGTGTTATGAGCCCCTTTGTACCATTTTTAGACAACCAAGCTAAAAAGCCATGCAGAGATTGTATTAAGCAAGTCTGTGTACCAAGAATGCATTTATTATGCCTGTTTAGAGGAAAAAAATAGTAAAGCAGGAATGTTACCAGTTTTCCTGTTTTGTTCACATCATTTTTTTCTTACTTGCTCAGTATTGTCGACAAAGTCTGGTTCATCGCCTAAAAAAGGAACAAAGTCCCAGAAACCTTCCTGTAGTAGTGTGGAAGATACCCCTGATGGTGAGTAGCTTTTAAGGAACGATAATGAGACTATGAACGATAAAATTGACAGTTAAGTACAACAATAACACTTGCCGAAGATATGTGTTTCCAGGACTTGTTTCAATTTTGCGATGTCAACTTATAATGGCTCCAACAAGAATTTCGAACTCAAGATAACGGCAAAAGCTTGGCTACTTCTTATATGTTTACAGTAAAATTGTGAAATCTGTCGAGAAAACGTATTGACCGCGGATGACCGAAGATCGGATGCCTGTTCGGTTCAAATAACCTCAAATCGAACATGATTAGGTTCGAAACATATAGGTTGTGATTCGCAAATGGAACGGGCGTTCGATTCGAATTACCCAGATCAAATACGGTCGAACACAATTTGGGTTTTAGAAAAGGTGTGAACTTTGCGGCCTTTACCCTAAACAGTACATCTGGGGTCCGCGCGGACCCCAGCACTATATATTCTGTAATATCTTTTTTGTTTCTAAAGATTTTTTTCTGAAATTTTAGGTAATTGTCACCCACAAAGTTGTCTCTCAATACAGAGCAGAAATCTCCGTTTCTACAATTTATAAAAGAATCATATATGATTTTCTTTTGGGGTCCGCGCGGACCCCAGCCGGCTTTCGATCATAATGGATACACTGGCGTTCTTATACATTACCTTATTTCCGTTTTTATATGTTTTTATGCACTCATCGTATGTCTACCAAGTTTTCAGAGAATGGTGTAGTAATAGAATTAAATTTTAATAACTTTGGTGTAATTATGACGTCATATGACGTCAGAGCTAATAACATAGTCCGCCATATTGGATTTTGACCAATGACGTCATCAAATTAGCATATTCTATGCATATTAAATGATTTAACTTATATTTAATTATGTAAGATGTTATTAATGTTGGAAAAGAAGTGTAATTTAATATAAAACTCAGAAAATTTTTATGTTTAAACCAAAATTACTTCTATTTTTAAAAAAACTGCCTGCTAGAAACCCGTTGCCATGGCAACACAAAAAATATCAACTTACTAGTATTAAACTAATATGAACTTTTTTTCAGAGACATTTTAGGAAAGGTCTCCAAATTTGATACTTCTAGCGCAAGCCGTTTAGCCGCTATCTGAGATCAAAGTTTGGCCTCAAAAGCCCCTTCAGTCTGAAATGGGCTTAAAAATGGGGTATTTCTTCTTGTCTTCTTTTGTTCACCAAAAAATAGAAAAAGTTCAAAATGCATGATTTTTCTATGTAATGTGGACACAGAGGTTCCCACATTAGTTTGCAAAACAATTGAACATGTTAATAATTTCTAAAAAATAGCAAAAAACTGTTCTGGGGTCCGCGCGGACCCCAGGTGTACAGATTAATCAGTCCGGGAAGGTGTACTGTTGAGGGTTAATTTGACCACTGTGAATTACAAACAAGCGGCCAGTGGGTTCAAAATTTTACCACTTACTCCAAGCTACAAAAGCTGAACAAATTAAGCATCATTAACAGTAGCTATATGACGCCAAATAACCAACCAGCAGGTTATGTTTTACAAACACATACATACATGCACACACAAACAGAAACACACAAGTGCTCACACAAATATATATATACATATAAGTCGCGCCATCCGTACCATTTTTTCCCTTGAGCTTTATTTACACAACCTTTAACCACTCACCAAATGTCATTAGGATCAATCCGCATCTCTTGGGGTTACATGCTGCTGTCATACATACAGACCATAACAACAGACCATAAGAATTGATAAAACTTGTTTAATTTAGGTTATACATTGCAAACGTGTAACCTAACCCAACAACTAACCTGTCCCAAATTCACCGATGATATATAGACAACAATCATAAACCCAGTACCTTTAACATACAGGTATTATCACACAAAACAATTAAATTTGTTGAATTTTAAATCATTGCTTGAAATGTAAAAATATGACTTTATTATATTTTAGATTACTAGATTATATTTAATGCATTGTTTTTTTTTAAGAATCCCTCATGTCTTATTTCTAAACTGCAGGACGAGACACCAAAGGAGAGAGTGAATCCGGATTATCTTTTTCTGGTAAACATGTTTACATTACCTTTTGAATTTAACCTACATTACAGCCTGCTTTCCCGGCAAAAAGCTTCTTTTTTGCTTGAAAATGGCCCCCAAAAATTTTAAGCCTGTATAATAAAAAGAAAGCCTAGAGGTTTTTTTACCCCACTGCCTCAGTCAAAAATTGTGTGTTATTTGGCCCAAAATTGAAGAAATTGAATCCATTGAACGAAATGGCAGGGGAAGGAGATGAAGCGGAAGAAGAAAAATCCAGAGGAAAAACAATATGCAATATCAAATCAGGGAGGTTAAATAAAATACATTTTTCATTACCTTTGCAGTTTTACATCTTTTAGATATTTGCGCGTTTTGTTGTTGTTTATTAAATGTAATTACGGAGGCTAGGACCTTCTTTTAAGTTGCAGTACTGGCACGACAAGTACAAATATATGGCAATAATGAATTGAACGTTTATTGTTTTGCATATGGATTCTTTTATTCCTGACCTTTTCAACTGACAGAAGTAGCCTCTGCAGGTATGTCTTACTTTGCATTTATACACTACATTGTTTTTCGTTCCGCATTGCATTTACAGACCGGTCAGAATATTCCAAATGCTTTCGTGTCATTTGTATTTAACATGTATATCGTTTGTAGTAACATTAGAAATATTAGTCAATGTTACACAGTCAAGTCTTTTATTTTTGTTCAAGGTAGAATATTTAACAAGCGTATCAATTACATTTCTTTGTTATTTACGACATATATTACAGCTGCGGCTGCAGCTTTTTTGGGAGGTGAGGTACATTTTTTTTATTTAATTGGATTACAATGTAATGTTTATGTCTTCGTGATTGAATGGTATAGATTAATATATTTGATTTATTTGTCCAGTGAATCCAATGTAGCTCAGCAGACATTTTCCGCCGTGTAAACTTTAATAATTAACATTACAAATTGTATGCAGTAAAATACAAGTCATCACCTTTTTGATGTCTTGTGCTCAAGAACGTATAGAAACTTTGTGTCCCCTAATTCTCGTTTTGGTTGTGTTACCTGCTTGACAGCATATCGCATTAATTAAATATATCATTATTATCTTAATTTTTTTCCTTTATTTTCATTATACAGCTGGGCTTTATACTGCTGCAAGAGGTAAGATAGAAATTTCTTAGAATTTGATTATCTATTCTTAGAATTTTAAGTTAGAATTTGATTTTCATTTATTTACATATCTGCAAAACAAAGCTGTCCCATTAATAATATGAACAGCCATAGCAATGATTAAATTTATATTGGACTTAGGCCGCATCATGATTTCTTGTCGGCAACAGTTGTATAAGTTGTCTGAGTTCCAACTACGTAAATATGTTCTGAAACTACACTTCAACAGCACTTAGCTTTAACTTTAATGCATATATATAGAACTAGAGTAGCAGACAAAAATGAAGACTGCTATTCAGACGTTCTATTTTTAGTTTATTAAAGGAAATTTCAAAAGTGTACAACACTCATTCACTTTGTGAGTAAGACGCCCTTTGCCGGTAAGGACACTAAGTAAGTTAGTAAGTTTATACTATCCAGGATTGTACGTACCATAAGCCCTGTCACCCTTCGTTAATGACAAGACCATGATTTATAATGATATTCTAAGTACTACCAGTATTGCCATTTTTTTCAAATAGGCTACACTGAAATGAATTATGAAATTAATATCTATTGCTACCGATTGATAATAAAATCAATACATATGTGAAAATAAGATCATAGGCTATGAAAAGAGCAACATACGTAGCGATAATAAATTTTCTTTTTTTTTGGTCTTTTTTGCATATAAAACTCTTGTACATGTAACATGAAAGCTACCGGGTCCCTATTCCCAGCCCTGGATTTACTATCAGATTTCAGAGCTTTTCCTGCCCTGTCACTTTATATTGTTCATTACAAAGTTCGGGAACCAACAAATTAATTTGATGTGGCCTTATATTTGCATAACCTCAGTTTAAAACATTTTGCAGCTGTGCGGGCAGGCGGAGACGTCGGTAAGGACAGAAGTTTGTTTTATCCTTTAATCCAAGATTTTGAATTAAAATTATGAAAAACACACCTTCTAATATTGTCCTTTTTTCTAGAAAATGACACCTATTGCGTTATTGTGCTAAAGTAGATCTCACTTTTAATCACGTTTTATTTTGCGTTTTAACAATAACATTTATTTTAGAAACCGACACTTTCCAATAGGAAAAAAAACCACTATATGACGTGGGAGGAAAATTATATTGGGTTATGGGTATATGCTGAACGTAGTGATTCTCTATACTAATTTTTTTCAAAACATAGGCCCTGTATTGTGGAATCTATAAAGGTTTTAAACATGTAAGACACATAGTAATGTCTAGAAAGACCATGAACGAAAAGCATAGCACATGAAAACCATTTTAACCGTATGGCTATTGTTTAAAGATTGAATGTGCAACGTTAACTTAGAGTATTGTTTATTTATTCTAAGGTAACAACGAATGCTCCGGAAAACGAAAGCTGTCGTCAGGTAAACTTTGCAACTGACATTATCGTACATTCATTAATGCATTTTGCCTGTGTGGTTGATACATGTAACTTTTTATATTGAATGATATATTTTGATATTGCCGACTGCTTCTCAATTGCGATAACGATGCAAAATACCTATAACAGGGAGTGAAGAAACCAGTCAGAAACCAACCAAGAAGAAAAGTAGGCGTTTATTTTTATTTCTATTATTTTTATGCTGCTATGATAATGATGCTGCTATAGATATAACTTAATTGATTTATCATTGTGTATGTTTTGCCTAATATCTATATCTATAAAATTTGCGCCATTCTCCTAACGTGAAGGGGCAATTTCTCTATGTTGCTTAAAACATTGGAGTAGCTTAAAATCTAATGGCTATTATAAAATATTAAGACCTGTTTAATTGTTAAATATATCAGACGGTAGGTAAAATAGCTATCCTCTATGAAAACTGTTACATGACTTAAAAATATTGATGCCGTAATTTGTGTTTCAGAATCTTCGGATGACGAGTAGTGCAAGGCCAGTTTCTGAGTTTTGAAAAAAAGACCTTGTACGTTACTGCATATTTTTGGTCCACAGAATAATTTTGGATTATAAGCATCATTTGTTTTGCATGTTTGTACACTTGATTCATTGTGTGACAACTATTTTCTTAAAGATATGTGTGTGGTTGGCCTATTTCTTCTCACAATGAAATTCCGAAGTATCCAAGCGTAAGCTTAGAAATGAAATTCGAATGCAATTCAAATAATGCAAATATTTAAAAATGGCTTAAAGGATATGAGATATAATTGTGTGTTATTGACTACGCTAATAGGACAAGAAAAATTTTATAACGGTATGTAAAGAATAAAATGAATAGGTTTGTTCCTGTTACATTTGATCATTGACGGTGGTGGGCAATATTCATGTCGTGATGCTGTTGCCAAGAGTTTAATACACTTTGATATTGTATCGTACACACATATTGTTAAAGTTTTGTTGTATAAATTTGAGTATCAGTGAAGGACACAAAAGTTGTTAGTACTTTGTTGCATCATTTTGTTTGTGAAGATTTAATGCTCACACCTTACGTAGTTCATGAGTTACAGTAAAAGCCTTAAAAGCCCCCCACCCCCAAACCACCCCAGCCCTTGACCAAGTCGGTTAAAAAGAGATAAATTCGTTTAGGAATTACATTTGAAACGCATTACGTTTAATCGCATACCGTTTGCACTCTTGTAGCACCTGGGTGCGGTAAAAAGTAAAACTTGTCTGTATTGACCAGGGGAATATAACAAATGGTCACTATGGACAACTGATAATAAACTAGTTGTGTAGTAAAAATGCCTTGCTGAAAAGTGATTCACTAACCTGTTTTTACTATTTACGGACATGCGGAATTATGCTTGTGTATAAGTCAGCTTTTACTCACATATAATGGGTACTTGGAGACAATCAAGTCAAAGTCACAGTAAGGATTAAATTTCATGTATAATTTTTGTGCTCCCCGTCTTGTGTATCTAGCATAAGTTAAAATACTTAAATACTCCTGTCATTGTACTCCCAATATCTATTCTTAATATTTTTTTTACTAAAAATGCATCGGATTTAGGTATCATATATATTAGAGTAAATAACTTCACACCATAGACAATACAATAATTCACAGCTTTCGTCTTCACGTCAAAAATATTAACATCTTGAAAGTGTAATTAGTACATATTTAATGTACTTTTTTGCTTGGAAATTCATAATTGTCGCATTCGGAAGTTAACTTAACCAAAGATCAATGAACATAATTCAAATCATGGTTTCATTTGCATAATTTATAAGGAAGTGCTAGAATGGCCTTTTTTGTTAAGATAAGTCTGTCATTCGGTGGAGAATATGATCAACTGACAATACATACAAATGAGGCTATTATTTTCGAAACTAATGATTTAGATTGTATAATTCGCCAACAAGAAGGGTCAACATAATTTGGCGAATGTATGAGGTCTTGGAACTCTTTTATTTGTATTATAATTGATTTTGATAAGGTCAATGGAGCAGGGCATCATACAAGCCTGTTGGCTTATTCCCTCCCCCTGCCCTTTTTGAAAATACCTTTTTCTTCACTTTATTTTTTATTGTTTTGTATGTGCGGATAAATAATGAAATAAACAAATGATGAGATCGATCGTTACTACTGATTCTCGTAGCTAAACGCCTAAAACAAACAAGTTTAAACACATGGGTGGAAAATAAGAGAACAGCGAGATTCGTGGGTGCAAAAACAGTAATAGCGCACAGAAACACAGCCACAAACGGGAATTCAGAGATCTCATACCTACATGAGAATACTTAGAACCTTTCTATTTTTTGTTTGTATTTGTATCATTGATCATGGAAATATAATGATTACACCTATTTTATGTACGGTTTTCACCACTCACAATACATATATTTAATATAATCTTATGTAAAAGATCCTATCCTTTGGCAAGGTTTAATCTCAACATTTCATCATTGTTAATACAAATGACCTACACATTAATATAATATGTACATAGAGATGTTAACAAACTATTCAAATAAGTATGAAGTAATTGCCACGCTTGTATCATCCATCCTATCTGGAACAATAGTATTAGAGAGAAGGAAACGTACGGGTACCCCTTTTCCTGGAGTCTGGCTATTTTAAGTCGCAACACAACTGCGTCATCTAGCGAGACGATTTCGTAATGCAGCAATGCAAGATCACCTCTACATGGCACATCCATAGTTTTCCTAACTTCAATCCTTGCTTAACCCTCAAGGGTACACCTTCCCGGACTGATTAATCTGTACACCTGGGGTCCGCGCGGACCCCAGAACAGTTTTTTGCTAATTTTTAGAAATTATCAACATGCAACCAGCTCAATTGTTTTGCAAACTGATGTGGGAACCTCTGTGTCCACATTACATACAAAAATCATACATTTTGAACTTTTTCTATTTTTTGGTGAAGAAAAGAAGACAAGAAGAAATACCCGATTTTTAAACCCATTTCAGACTTAAGGGGCTTTTGAGGCCCAACTTTGATCTCAGACAGCGGCTAAACGGCTTGCGCTAGAAGTATCAAATTTGAAGACCTTTCCTAAAATGTCTCTGGAAAAAAGTTCATATTAGTTTAATACTAGTAAGTTGATGTTTTTGTGTTGCCATGGCAACGGGTTTTTAGCAGGCAGTTTTTTTGAAAATAGAAGTAATTTTGGTTTAAACATAATAATTTTCTGAGTTTTATATTAAATTACACTTCTTTTCCAACATCCTACATAATTGATTATAAGTTAAACCATTTAATATGCATAGAATATGCTAATTTGATGACGTCATTGGTCAAAATCCAATATGGCGGACTATATTATTAGCTCTGACGTCATAATTACACCAAAGTTATTAAAATTTAATTGTATTACTACACCATTCTCTGAAAACTTGGTAGACATACGATGAGTGCATAAAACATATAAAAACGGAAATAAGGTAATGTATAAGAAAGCCAGTGTATCCATTATGATCGAAAGCCGGCTGGGGTCCGCGCGGACCCCAAAAGAAAATCATATATTTTTTTTTTTTTTTTATAAATGATAGAAACAAAGTTTTCTGCACCGTATTGAGAGACAACTTTGTAGAAATCTGAGTTGGAAATGTCAAATAAACAATGTAAGAATTGATGTATTTGGGGTGAAAATAATGCAAGTGCCGAAGTAACGGGTTCCTTTCTCAGCACTCGGTATACAGAGGTGTGGCGGCTTCCGTCCTAGATCTCCAGTGCCGAAGATACGTCAAGACTTGGTGTCCAGTGTTGGCGGCTTCGGCACTGGAAACTCGGAATCGCAAATCAAACCTTGTCTTTAAAAAGGGTATCGAGATGCTGCCAGTCATATTTCCGAGATCATACCGCCTGGGTAACAAAGTTTAACCGGGACAACAAGGTTATCGCCAGGACAGGACTGCACGGCCTGTTGTCTTACATTTTCACAGACATAGACTTGGCCTAAGATACTGTTCTGTACGCTGCGCGGCCGACGTAAGCACCAGAAGCCCAGTGCGAAAATGGTTTAACTCGGCTCGGTAGCTATTTTGCTCCAACTATTCAAAGACACAGAATTTCAGAAAACAATTTACAAATGTATATTTTAAACAAGTTTAATAAACATCTTTTTCAACCATATATTGCAAAAGCGCGGGTTGTGGGTGTGGCCGAAATGCTGCCCGCCTATTGGTCCCCGCTAGGCTGGCTTGGATGGGAAATTGAGGTTCCGGGGGGGAGGACCCTCCCATTAGGCTCAAAGGTCCAATTTTATTTTAAAAGGTGGACTGATTTGCTCATTTGTTACACCGGTGGGGCTGGCATTCTAGGAAAACGTCTCATTTGATAAATAAGGCATCTCTGATTTTTCCTTCAAAATCCTCTAAAACACGCAGGGACTACCATTTCAAATGGTTAAATTCTCAAAATTTTGTGCCCCAATAAAATCCTGGCTACGGGCATGACCCCATCGGCGGCGTCTGCAGAACTAACCCGGCTGACGGCAACAAGAGAATCTCTCAGCCGCAACACTAGTACTGTGCTACCGACTGACGCATCCTCCGGTGTTTCCGTCTCATGTTCACCCAAACTAAAACGTTGCATGATGAACCTAGAAGCTTTACGATAACTCAGCGAGCAGAAATACAGCACAAAGCGTAGCGATCAGCGCCATCTTGTCTTCTCGGAGAAATGCCCCCTGGTGTCCTGTTACAGCCTACCTGCCTATTGCACAGGCCAGTTACTGGACCCTTGCTCCCCTCCGCCGGGCACCATAAAAAAAAAAAACGCGGCCGAACCTTGAGAAGAGCTTTAGCTTTAGGGACAGATCCACTATACTATATAGTGAAGCACTGTCGCGTGAACAATTATTATATTGTCTTTGATCGACTGGTCACGGAGGTAAAATCTGGGCTAGAAGCTTCACGACATGTTCCCACATGTCATAGAACCCGAACAGCGAAATTTTGAAAAAAAATCAATGATTTAATATCAACAGCTAATATAAAAAAGAATGTTAAGGCAATAATTTCATTTTAATTTGACGAAATTTACCATTAAATCCATTTTGTTTATTTTCAAGTGTTTTACGGGTAGTCCAAAACAGGCCAAAATAGCGTCTTGTAAAGCATAGGTCACAATTCAAGAAAGGGGCCCGCTCGGCGCGTGTTCGGCCTGTTTTTGGCACTACCGAACGGGACCTGGACGGAGACCTGCGGGCTTCCCGACGGCTGCCGGCCTATTTTTGTCGCCGCGCGGTCGCCGAATTGATTTTAATTCAAACTTCAAATCACTTCGGGCCCCGTTCAGCAAGGTACGCCGAAGCGACGCCGTAACTTCACTGTCCGAGACCCTTTGGCGGCCGAACAGGCACCTGCCTAAGATTATGACGTCACATGTGCTGATAAGTGCATAAGCTGGTCAGGAAAATGGGTTTATATGGGACATATGTAAACTCCTTGTTCAGACTACGTCGCCCAGTTCACTACGTGTGTGTTACACCGTGTACTTGTGTGTGTTACTCCGTATTTGTGCCAGAATGCCGAATGGCAAAGAAAACAGCCAAGACGATAGCCCGGCATACATGTACTTATGGAATGAACAGTGATATTGTGTTGCATGTGGGCTACCCTGAAGGCAATCTTCGAGGATCGGTAGCTGTTCCAAGCGTAGGGTAATGACGAGTTTCAGGCATCTGGAAAGGGCTGTTTAGCACTGCATAGAATTAAACAGAAGTGTCACATACAGACTAGACTGTAATGTCTAAATTTATTGATATTATAAATCATTACGGATACATTGAAATGTGTCAAGAAGTAGAGGGCATTCACAAATAAAACATTTGCTCTGGACATTTCTCGATGGATGGGCCTACACGTTGTAGGAAATCGTGAAATATATGTGGTTCCATTCGTAGGAAGGACTTAAAGTCGCAATGATGTTCGCGACATAGCTCTATCGTCAGTGACTC